TGGCTCGCAAGCCACGGGTTGGCCACGATTGGCTTAGACTTTCAAGTTGATCATGGTAATGAGTGTTTGGTATCTTAGCAATACAAAGTGTCCTGCCAATTACAAATGAAACTTTTACGCTTTAACATCCTCCTACATTTGCTAACTTTTATTTAGAAAAATTGTGTTTTGGTTTTACATACTACTTTATAATTACTCTAATTCTGCCAGTGCACTTTTCAAAACAGCACTGGATTGCTTTTTGTAGCAAACCAGGTAATGAGTGTTTGGTATCTTAGCAATACAAAGTGTCCTGCCAATTACAAATGAAACTTTTACGCTTTAACATCCTCCTACATTTGCTAACTTTTATTTAGAAAAATTGTGTTTTGGTTTTACATACTACTTTATAATTACTCTAATTCTGCCAGTGCACTTTTCAAAACAGCACTGGATTGCTTTTTGTAGCAAACCATGACCTGTTTAAAACACACAAGTACAATGAATAATCGGTCTAAATATTTAAAGATCTCAAGTGTGCATACTTTTACAGTGTGACAGTTTAAGTGATAAAACTTTTTAACTTTTCTTCTTTAGATGAACACCTTGTTATTCATTACTTGTGTTGCCAAAGCTGCTAATTTATTAAAGATTTGTTTAAACAAAGATAAAGTCTTGATCTTGTACTAAAGTGATGATGAATTTGAACATTACCTTCATATTCATGGCAAAGAATGGAACGATAGATTCAGGATTCTGATGCCTTTCTTTCAGAATCAAGACAAAGGTAAGGTAAACTTGTAAAGATAATGAAAAGTGTCTGAAGAATAGAATGCATAAAATAACTGGTGATACTACTGGCATACTAAAAATGGTTTACATTTTATGCAACTAGTTAGTAGCTGTAGGTAATAAGACACATTCAAGTTTATCAGGCTAGCAGCATAGCACAGAACACAGCAATTTACACAATTATTACAATAAATTTGAAGAACTTGAGCTATTCATTTATTTTCTCACTAAAAAGGTTGCTTTTCTGTGCTTATAACTAAGCCTGTATAATAGAACTAGATTCCAGGCCACACTTTCGATTCTTCATATAGATTAACATCATACAGAGATAGCTTAGCATCTAATTATTTAGTACAAATACATACGTTAGTCAGCAAAATACTGTGAAAAAACGTGTATAATATTTCTCTGTTAGGAGCAACACTCACTAGGCAAAGGCATGAAAAATGCAAGCAGAGGAAACCTTTGTACCCTACAGCTACCATAAATGCCACCTTCCAAGTGAAGAGGCTCTTTGACCCTTCTCCCAAAATCTATCTGTCCCTAAGTTTGTTTACCACCAAATTTGGTATGCAACTTCCTTTTATGCTAACTTAAAGCAAGGTTAGATTGTGCCAAGAAAATGGAAAGTGCCTGGAATGGGACTGTTTTCCATAACACAGAAGAGGAGGGAGCAGAGAGCAGGGACAGTTATGCTCCACAATGACCACTGGGGGCAGGGAGTGTGGGGGACAATTATACTGCAGAGTGACCCTGGGGGGAGGGAGTTGGCCACACCAGGAAGAGTAGCTAGTTGGAGCCAGGGCTTTCCATATTGCCAGCCACAGGTTAAGTTGCGTCCCTGCCCCTAACTCCTCACCCCTAGCCCTCAACTGCAGCATAGCCCCATCCCTCTCCCCTCCTTGGTAGAGGAGCTGCATGGCCAGTGCAGCTGTGCCTCCAGCCCCTTTCCCCTGGGAGGAGCCTTCAGTTGGTTAGCACTTTTTAAAACTCCCATAAGATTTCTTAAAAGTTCAGTACAGTAATACAAAGAATATTCATAAACTGTCAGAGCATATTTTTGTATAGCGATTTGCTGTGTTCCACCTCCACTCCTAATGAATGCCTGTTTTTGACAGTGAGCCATTCCACCTTGGGCTGTGATCTTGTCACACTTCCTAGAAAGGCACTCAAATGGACAGCTTTATGTTCAAAGTGAACTGCTGAAAGAAGCTATTGGGTCAGAACTTAAGCTCAAGCCTTGGTCACCAAGACTGTGGTATGAGATTGTGAACTGTACTTTTTCAATTCTAGTGCTTGATTCACCACTGCATTATACCATGTTTATCGATTTCATAGGAATTACACCATCAGCTACATAGACATAAAAACAGGAATAATACAGTGGCGAAGCAGGTCCTTAAAGTGGACTACCGTATTACATGATCATAATGAGTGGGGATGTCCCATTGTGTGTCACCTAAATTCCAACATGGCAGCAACACTCCAGCTAGTCTCCTATAATGCTTTCTCTTTCCTAGCCTAAAAAGTGATTTGTAATGTAGATGGGTGCTAGATTCTGGAGGTAGATGAAGTGATGATATAACTATATTTTGCTATCATGCACTCTAGGAGTTAGTTCTTTGACACAAGATGGGCCAAAATATAAGGGGGAGATGGTAAAGGAGAAAAGGAACTGATTAAACCAAAAGTTAAAATATCCTCTAGAGGGCAACGTCTGTGCATATTTGGTTTACAGATCCCCCACCTTGAATTGATCCTCAAACTTTAGGGGAGGAAGATTGTTTACAAATAATTCACTGGAAAACATTATCTAACATTTCTACTTTGAAACCTAATACAAATGTTCTGCTTTTCCGCTGCTTCGTTTGTAAGGGCTAGAAACATACAGGAAAAAGCTAGAGCTCAGTGCTTCAGTCTACAGAGTATTTGAATGATCCTTCTGAAGTTTGGACATCTCCAAATTATATAAGGATACTATAACTGATGTTCACCTGTAATTAACTTACCTTAAATACAAGAGAGCAGCTTTTTTACATTTCCACCTCCTTACCTGTCTTCATGACAAAAATCACTGTTCAATCCCCAAACAACTGCATGAATGCGCAGTAGGTATTAAGCCATTTTTAATGTTTCCATTGATAAACACTGGAAAACAAGCTCCTGCTTCTCTGTAGTGGGGTTAGAGAACCCTCTAATATTGTTCAATGTCTACTACTTAGTTTGTAGTGGTGCCTAACCTGCTTGGGGGTTTAAAAAAAAATCCACCACTGATCAGGCCAGATCTTTAATGTAGATCTGCATTAACCAAAGTACACAACCTATGTAATCAGAAAGATGGTGCATAATCAGTGATCATATAACGTAACTAAGCTGGTAAGTATAATTCACTCTGAGTTATTAAAAAGATGGGTCTGTCCCTGTAAAGAAAGCACCTTTTAAATTAAGAAGATTGTAATTTTCCCTTTGAGACCAATGGATTAATTTGTATACAAAAAGTAGGCTAGGCTCAAGGCAGCCATAGAAAGAAAAACTTTAAGACTGTCCGTATGTAATGGAAAGAAAAAAAAGACTACTACGATGCTAGACATAAGTGGTTGTTTGTCTTTGAGTTTGAAGATGACTAGGACATCACTAATTGGTTTGGTTTCTCTAAACACATGAATGGGGCAATCCTCTGATTACCTGCACATTTGCAGGTAAACCTGGAGATGGGGGCCCGCATGGGACTAACCCTGTCGACTGGATCCAGCCCGCAGGCTAGCATTTGCCCATCCCTATTCTAGTGACATGGCTTGCCCACCTTAGCCCTGATTTCATCAACAGCACATGGATGCTTGGAATGCCAATTTGAACTTTGAGTGCTCTGTGGCACTCTGACCAAGAAATGCCTCTATGAGTTATTTGATTAACAGCAGATATGATGCTGTTGCAAGATTTAAGCTGCTGGCACTTATGCTCTGCCTCATCAGTTCTCTGTTACTCACAGACTAGGGAAGGGGAACCTTTTTTGGGTCAGGCCACTGACCCACAGAAAAATCAGGGGCCGCACACAAGTGAAAAGCAAAATAACCCCAAACCAAAAAAACATGGTCCCTCATGGAGGAGAGACTCCCCACATTCCACTTACACACCAGAGCCTGGGAGCCAGCATAGTTGATTTTGTGTTTCAGCCCCATGGTGGAATAGTGGAGGAGCTGGAGCGCCAGCATGGACTTCCCAATGCTGGGGGTGCTCCTGAGTCTCAGGGGCCAAATCGAAGCAAGCTGGGGGCCACATCTGGCCCCTGGACCTGAGATTCTCCAGTCCTGTCATAGTCAGTAGTTTGTGGATGAAGTTTTACCAGGTAGAATGATCATGAATGAGATCTTCCCAAAACTCTGGGTCAATGTAGATGCGCCTCAAGGATAGCTCGAGGGAGTCACTGAAAGGTTTCTTCTGGCTTCCATGAACATACTTTCCCTCCTTTAGCTCACCATAAAAACATCTTTGACAGTTGCTCATCAGACATTCTCGTGCAGGGGTTGGCAATAAAAAAAGTGGCAGCCCACCTGGGTTAGTCCCTGGCACACCCGCTGCTGTTTACCTGCGCTTTTGCAGGTATCAGACGACTGCAGCTCTCACTGGCCACGGATCAATGGCCAATGTTAGCATTGAGAAGCAGCATGGACCGGGATGCCACTTCCCACAACTCACATTGCCCGCAAATGGCGATTTGCGGCCTACAAGAGCTGCGATCCTCTGATACCTGCAAAAGTGCAGGTAAACATGGAGGTGGGGGCCCACTCGGGAGTAACCCTCGGACCAGATCCAGCCCGCAGGCTGGAATTTACTCACCCCTGTTGTAATGACATAGCCTGCCCACCGTAGCTCTGATTTCAACAGCACATGGATGCTTGGAATGCCTGTCTGTATGAGAACGTCAGTATCTGGAACCTCGTCTTGCCGTATTATCCTTACCAGTTTCCTGACAGCTCAGGTGTCATCAGTTTCCTCCACACAATGTACAAGTTCACCTATACTGGCAGTACATGGTCATGTATAGTTCACATCAATGAAACAAATGCTAGAATTGCCAAAGCAAGAGTGACCTTTAGCAGTCTACGTGCAGAGGTGTTAGTTAAACAAAATGGAAAGTCCTCAAAGCCATCATGTTGACAATTCTGATGGATGTAGGCAAAAAAAACTGATGTACAGACACCATGTTATTAAGTTGATAATGGGCACATTCAGAACTTTTAACAGGCCAATTTCTTGAATGTCTGGAGAATTTATCAAATCTAGGAAGCCAATGAATGGGAGTGGAGTCACTTTAAATATTTTACAGCTAAATTGGCTGCCTGTTTAACCAAGGTAGGAGAATGGACCAATAGTCTCCATGTGAAAAAAAATTAATTAACAATCAACAGCAAGCCAGCCAGTCAATTAAAGAGCAGCAATGGGGGAAAATTAAGAGTGACAAAAAATAGAATTTCCAAGTCTCTCCTATTAGGAAGAAAACCCACCACAAACAGATCGAAGTATTCCCCATAGTATTTGGCCTGTTGAGGTAAACCAGAAAAATCACAATATACAAAGATTCAAAACCACAAGATAAAATAACTATAGATTTATTGAGAAGTAGCAACATTCAGACACAAGAGATGTTAACTGCTTCCACTCTTAAAACATCTCTAATTCATTCAAAATAGCTTAACAACTGTTTTAAGCTGTTACAGTGGAACAAAAAGTACTCCATCGATTTCCTTCATAAATTATGCCAATCCACGGCCTGCTACAAATGTCAGTTGCTTTGTTGTACAGAAAATGTCAGTTTATATAGCATACATAGGACACTGTCTGCATCAATGCACACTGCAGACTAACATGCAATAAGATGACATATTAGAAAGCAAAAAAGGAATTGCTTTCTCAGTCAGTCTTGCATGCATGTGGTGTAACATCCAATTGTAGTTACTGTAAAATCTCTTCTAGTACAGTGGTTTATACTGTTATAACAACTTTATTCTTATTACTAGCAAATAATGGCCACATAAAAAGGTAAAGTAAAATCTGTGTCGTTAAAATTAAAAAGGGATGAAGGAAATCGATGTATGCATGTAGCTACCTTAGATGACAAAACAAAGCAGATTTTGTTTGTTTTTTTCAGTCACACTGGTGATTAGAAGTTTATGGCAACAATTTAGTGCTTTTGTTTCAGTTTTAAATGGGCAGTAAGAAAGGGCTAGTTCATACTCCAGAGTTCTACGTTACCTATAATAATATTGAAATGGCTAACATGAACTCAAACTCTTTCAGTACATTAGATTTGAATACATTACTAGAGTACATATGAACATTTTAGGGCGGTTGGTGGGACTTATTTGATTATCTTGTATTCATGAAATAAAGCTTTGATAAAAATAATATAATTTTCAAATTCTTAGAAATTTTAAAACTAAATTCAGAAGTGTGCAGGTTCTTTGGATCATGCATTTTAAAGTTATTACACCTCATTTAAAGGTTTTACGCTTTGTTTGAAGTTTTGGCCTTGGTTTGGAGAGATACTGAATACTTATTGCCCCACCAAGCGTTGTAATTGCTTCTAACATTTGAAGATGTAGGTATAATTTGCTAGCTGCTTTTTCTTAGCAGAGTTACTAAATGCCTACATGAAAATAGTTGGGAAACAAACTACTTACAATTCATTATATTCTTTGATGTTTCTATGGTTTTGTTGGGTTTTTTATTATTAAAAAAACCCCTCTCTTTAGGACGTGGTTATCTTGTATTAAAACAGGACCTTTGATAATTATTCATCTGTTCATTTCTCACTCCTAATTCCTTGACATCATGATAATCTTACAGCAATTACATCATTACAAACAAAGGATTCTCTCTTCAAGGCAGGAGTAAGCAGCATAAACGTAGAGGTAAAAATTTAACAGAGTTTCTACTTGTTATGCAACTGTCCTAAGTAACAGGCATAATGGCGGATTCCTGGTCCCATTAAGTCAAAGGAAAAACTCCAATTGACAAACTGAAATTCAGGACTTTACCAGGAAAAGGAAACAATCTTAACACAGATTGTTTTAAAGTTATGTGGCATCAGCAGCTACGTGCTGTTTTATTGTGTGCAGGGAAGGGAGAGAATCATTTTACTATAGCTTACATTCAAACTGAAAAAACTGAACTCTGAGTGTCCTACTTGGTTTCAGTTACATCACTTAAAATAATTAAATAAAACCAATTTTTTCATAGGTGAGCATTTAAAGCTGGTCATTTACTACACATTTTCTTTAGGTGGAACAAGAACCATCAAATTTCTTCTGCATTAAAAGCAAGAAACACCCAATTCTGTAAGTGTCATAAGAAAGAAAACACTTTAGATGTCAGTGGTTAGGGCAGGTGAGAAGGACAAACTCGCCCTTTGCTGCCTACTCTCTGAATACATGCCCAGTTCAGTGGCTTTCGGTCACTGGGGATCTCTTCTGAATAAACCGGTAGTACAAGTACTCATCCTGAAATTCAAATTCATTGGTAATATGCTGGATGACTCCTCCTTTTTCCAGTCTGTCGCCGTACCTCACAGCTTCACCACGGTCAGAAGCAAGGCCAACTTGGATAAGCCAGTTCACCAGCTCACAGCCAAGGAAGACTCCAGTCGAGGTTTTTGCACCACACCTGTATGTCAAAGGAATGATTCACCCATATGTTCTGAAAATCTGCTATCACCACTGCACGATGGGTGAAGGCAAGGAAAAATACGGGGAAACAAGGAAAGACAGCATGACAGTTAAATGTATGTTAGAAGCAAACCTATTAATTCTGTAAAGAGCATGCACATTTCACTACCTTTTCTTAAAAGGCCTCAGTGAAAATCAAAATGCATGCAGAGTTCTGTTATGCCTGTAAAATAAACTTTATAGAACCTCCATAGCAATTCTATCATAACACATGTACACATACAAACTATTAGATACTTACTTCAAATGCATTCATTAGCATGACCACTTTTGTAACAAAATACCTGATTTAATTAACTGTAAAATGCCAGAAGCACTGGGTACTTGAGCTGCACTTTAATACTCACCTTTTCTTCAGATTTAAATGGTCATTGAATAGTTGTGTATATTGTAGATGAATCATTTAATATGTTTATCTTACTTTACAACAGAGAACAATGACACTTATGCAAGAAGAGGGGTTTTTTTTTGTTTTTTTTGTTTTTTTGAAGACTAGTGGATTAGAAAACACTATTACCTCTAATCAAAATAGTAATAAAACTGTCACTCAGAAATTTACCTGTAGTCTGGTTATCTAAAATCTAATTAAACAGCTACGTAACACAGTAACAACCAGGAAATTCTTTATATTTTAATTAAAAACAAGAGCAAATGTTAGCTTATATTAGTGGTGTAACAAGCACAACAAAGAAGCAAAATCATAATAGTAGGATATCATATACAGTATTATTAAATCAAGGAGTAATTAGATGAATATTTGAACAAGGGATGGAGCAACTGCACACATTTCCTCAAAAATGGAAATAAGATGGAAAAGAAATGCTGCATAATATATAATATTCAAAGATAAAATGAATTACAAATATTTGATATCAGAAATTGATATTTTTCCAATTCAGAGACCCAGTATATATGTGCAAGCTTGTGTTTCACTTTTCGGCTATTTGCCCTATGGTCTAAATTATTGCCTGTCCGGATAGTTTTTTGCCTGCAAAGAAAATCCTCTTAAATTGAACCACATTGAAGTCTGATTAATTCTCAAATGAAAAAGAAACTATAAAAGCCATGAAATTGTTGAATGGCAAGGGGATAAAATGTTTAGATACAAAGCCAACCCTCGCCTACCTTGCAAAAATACTTCCTGACACACCACATTTGCTTGTGTGGTAGGAAATGCACTTTGTGATGTCTGGTCCCCTACATTCTTGAAGAAGAGAAAGTACTATAAGGAGAGAGCAGAGCCCTAAATGCTCTCTCCCTTTACCCATGGCATCAATAACACTTGAAAGACAAAGGAAGCAGCACTGGAGCGGTGAAGAGGTCCTGACTAAAAGGAATTCAGCTGATAAGACAGATGAAACGTGGTGAGAGACTTTTGCTTTGAATTTACTTTATACATTAGTTATGGTGTACTTATATTTTCTTGTAACCAATTTTAACTTTTGTGTCTCATGACTGTAGTCACTAAAAATCTATCTTTCTGTAGTTAATAAGTTTGTTTTACTGAAATCAGTGTATTTGGATTGAGGTATTTGGGATAACAGGATTTGTGCATATCATTTTCTGTTACTAAAACAACAACTTTCTACAGGCTTGTATTGTCCAAGAGAGAGCTGGGCAGTACAAGATGTACATTTCTGGGGTAAGTGTGGGACTGGACACTTGCTGGTGTTGCTCTGCAGTTTAATTCATAAGTGTCTGGCTACAGCACTAATACGCTATAGATGGGAGTAAGCTGCATGCTGGAGGTAGTGAGAGAGTAGACCAGGAGTGGTAGCTCTCACAGCAAAGCAGTATAAAAAGTACCCCAGGGTGGAGAACTGAGAGGACACAGCTATTCATTAGTCCAGATTATACCCTAGGTAAGGTCAGATTGCTTCAGATTTCCCCAAGATGTGAGAGTAGATCTTTAAAGAAGGATGAAATAAAACATTCTGATTAAAACAACCATTCCTGCCTTTTCTTGATACCACAGATATTTGCATAAGAAGCAGAAGCTTTCTTAAATTATTCTGCTCCTGTTGCTCCTTCTCCCCAACTTCCCACACACAAACTTGAGACCATAATCTTTAGTTTGGGGCATCAATTTGTTTCTGAAAGCTTCATGTGACACCGTAAGATGCTTAAGATGTCACGTGAGGAATAAGCAACACGAATGAACTTGTAAGGGATAAAGGACCTGCAAACCCCGAGTCACATGAGCAATCTTTACAGGCACAGCCATAATGAATGCAGATATGTACAAGATGCAGGATTAGACACCCTCCCTCCCAAAGCTCTTTTGCATGCACATACTCTTAATAGTAGCAAAGTGAGTTTTGAGATTTCCATTTAGAACAAGTTACTTAAACACACTTGTAAATACTCATCTTTCATGCAGTTGACTGCAATTTGAAGACATATGCCATGGCTGTAAACCCTAATGGCCCAGTCTGTGATCTCTGAACAGCTTACTGCAGATTAAATGAACCTCTGTAAAGGAACACATCCCCACCTTCTGTCTTTGACAATGCTTCTGACACAAACATCTCTATGATAATGAACAAACTGTTGACAGGTTATCCTGATTTCCTCAGGTACTGAAGAATCCGTATGTTCTGCTGTTTCTCGATTACCCCAGAGGAATTCAAGCCTGAAAAATAATTAACCAAGAAATCAACAAAGAAACTGGCAGTTTTAAAAGCTAAAATATTATAGAACTCAGGGGAAAATTCTCCACCATATCGGTCACTGATACTGTTATAATATAGGTTTCAGAGTTAGCCGTGTTAGTCTGTTTCAGCAAAGACTGATAGTACTTCCCAACCCATGTTCTGTTGGCCTTTTATCAGTCACAAGTTTGAGTCTAGATAAGGCAGAGTGGAAGCAAAGAACCAGGTGTGGATCCCTGATTCAGAACTGCCCAGACCCTATGTAAAGAACAGTTACTTACATCATAACTGTGATTCTTCGAGATGTGTTGCGCGTGTCCATTCCAATATAGGTGTGCACGCGTGCAGCCTGCTTGCACTATTGGAAGATTTTACCTCAGCAGTATCTTAGGGATAGCAGGGAGGCTCCCTGGAGTGGAGCCAGTATATTGGCCCATATATACCCGTGCTGGCCCTCTTGCCCACTCTGTTCCTTCTTACCGATAAAGGGTGGTGGGCGGGGATTTGGAATGGACATGAGCAACACATCTTGAAGAATCAGTTACGAGGTAGGTAACCATTCCTTCGAGTGATTGCTCATGTGCATTTCAATATAAGTGACTCCAAAGCAGAACCTAAGGAGGAGGGCTGGATGTCGAAGCCACGGAGAATTGGAGGACCACCTTACCCAGGCCAGCATCCTCCTTGGCCTGATGTGACAGCGCATAGTGGTTGGCAAACGTATGGACTGAGGACCATGTAGCAGCTCTGCAGATGTCCAGGATGGGAACCAGTGCTACAAAAGCAGTGGAGCCTGCCACAGCCCTTGTGGAGTGTGCTCTAAGGGGTGGGACTGGGATCCCGCTAGAGTGTAGCACTCCCTGATACAGCACTACAGGTTGGTCCCTCGTGCTCTGCAATAGCCACAAAAAGTTGTGGCGATTTACGGAACGGTTTCGTCCTGTCTGTAAAAGGCTAGCGCCTTTTATGTCTACTGAGAGATGAGCCTGTTCTTTCCCAGATACATGTGGTTTTGGGTAAAAAACTGCCAAGAAAATGTTCTGGGAGGCGTGGAAAGGAGATACCACCTTTGACAGAAAAGCCTTAAAAAATACTGTGTAGTGGGGGATCTGATGTCAGCGCCTTAAGTAATTGGATGTGATTACCACTAGGAGAGACACCTTATATGATAGTTGGAGGAGGGAACATGTTGCTAGCAGTTCGAACGGAGTCCCCATAAGTTTGGAGAGGACCAGGTTTAGGTCCCACTGGGGAACAGGTTGGTGGACATTCAGATAGTCTGTCCACCCCTTTTAGGAATCTGTTGACCACTGGACTGGCAAATAGTGTCTTCCCCCCTCCTTCCCCTGGGTGGAAGGCCGAGATGGCCGCTAAGTGAACCTTGATGGAGGAGGAAGAAAGGTACTGTAGTCTAAGGTCCAACAGGTAATCTAGATCGGGGGACTGGAGTCCACCTCAGGTCACCCCCTTCTGAGAAACCCAACAGCAAAACCTCTTCCACGGTACATGCTTCTGGTGGAGGGTTTTCTGCTGCCCAGCAGGACCTCCTGAACTTGTTCCGAGCACCAGAGTTCCTCTACCATCAAACACAGAACTTCCACGGTGTCAAATGTAGCAATTGCATGTCCGGGTGGTGAAGCCTCCCTGAGTCCTGAGATATCAGGTCCGGGACCAGCGGGAGGATTATGGGACTCTCGCAGGAGAGGCTGAGGAGGGTCAAAAACCAGTGTTGCCTGGGCCATGCCAGGGCGATTAGGATTAGTGATGCCCTGAATTCCCACACTTTCAGGAGGACCCTGTGAACTAGGAGGAAGGGTGGGAAGGCATACAGCAGGTCTTGCAGCCAGTGGAGGAGGAGAGTGTCCCGTAGGGAACCCTGTCCCTGACCCATGAGGGAGCAGAAACGGGCACTTCTTGCTCAGCCCCATGGTGAATAGGTCTAGGTGGGGAGACCCCCCACGCATGGAAGATTGATTGGGCCACTTTCCGCTCAGTCTGTCCACCAGAACTTTCTGGGAGCCTGGGAGATATGAGGCTATCAGGTGCATATCCGCTCCAATGCAGAGATCCCACAGATGGGTCACCTCTAAGCACAGGCAAGAGGAACGAGCCCCACCCTGCTTGTTTATGTATGCCACTGCTGTTGTGTTGTCCCACAGAATGAGGAAAAGACTTGCCTCTCAGGTGGGGAAGGAAAACAGCACAAGCTTGTCAGACTGCCCAAAGCTCCCCGATATTGATGTGCAGGGAGATTTTGTCCACGGCCGGGTTGTGGACTCGCGATAGCCACATCCGTAGCGGGCACATGCGCAGTCTGGTGTACTGCACTACATAAGTGCAGGCGGCCATGACGCTCAGTAGTCGCATGCAAGTCTGGGCAGTAGTCACTGTAAAGTTCTGGAGGGACCTGATTGCCATCTGTATCGTGAGAAACCGGGAGATGGGTAGGGAGGCCCTTTAAGACAGAGAATGTAGAGTGGCGTCCACAAACTCTATGATCTGCATGGGAGTTGGAGTCCACCTGTCCAGGTCTAGCAGGAGGCCCAGGTCTTCGAAGAGATTGCAGACTATGGTGATGTGGGTTCTCACCCGAGTCTCTGAATCCCCCCTCAGGAGCCAATTGTCTAGAAAGGGGAACACTTGGACGCCCCTTTTCCTGAGCTCGGCAGCCACCACCACCATGCATTTGGTGAAGACCCGAGGGGCAGTAGAAAAACCAAAAGGGAGGACCGTGAATTTGTAGTGGTCCGGGCCCACAGTAAAACATAGGAACTTCTGATGAAAGGAGGTGATGGAAATGTGAAAATAAGCGTCTTTTTAAGTCGAAGGCAGCATACCAGTTTCTGGGGGCTAAGGAAGGGATAACAGAGTCACCATTTTGAATTTTGTTTTGATGATGAAGAAATTTAGAGCTCTGTGGTCCAGAATGGGACGAAGGCCGCCTTTCGCCTTTGGAACTAGAAAGTAACAGGAATAGAATCCCCTGTTCCGAAACTCGGGAGGAATGCGTTCTACCACCACTAGCGTGAGGAGATGATTTACTTCCTCCTGTAGCAGAGGCTTGTGAGAAGGGTCCCTGAAAAGGGACAGGGTAGAGGGGTGGGAAGGAGGGGACGAGTGGAAAAGGATTACATAACCCTTTCCACTATCTCTAGCCCCCATCGGTCCGATGTAACAGACTGCCAGGCCTGGCGGAAATGGGATAAATGGTCCTGCAAAGATAGAGAGAAGACTGGTAGGGTGCCATCGGAGGTCCCGTCAAAACCCCTGCCAGGGGCCGGGGGGTTTGTTGAGGTGCACCTGATTATTATCTGGGGCTGGGTGTGGACGGCGCCTGTTGTTTCTGACATTCGTGCCCCTGCCCCTATTGGCTAAAGAAGGAGAAGAACAATGAAGAGAACAATCAAAATTACAAGCTGAAGGTTGTTCCAACGGCCGTCACGGGAGTAAGAAGGAACTGAGTGGGTGAGGGGGCCAGCAGTGGTATATATGGGCCAATGTACCGGCGCAACTCCAGGGGGCCTCCCTGCTGGCCCTAAGGGTACTGCTGAGAGAAAAATCTTCCGACAGCACGTGCATGTTGTGCGCACACACCTATATTGGAATACACACGAGCACTCACTCGAAGAAGAATATAGGGTTACAAATGGGTGGTGACCCCCTCCCAAGCTGCAGCCAAAACTCAAGTTCTTTCCACGCTCTGAGGTAGCGCGGGACTTAGGGATGTTAAATATTGGTTAACTGATTAGTCGATTAACCTCATGAATTCTTATCAGTTACTTGACTATTCTATAGTCCCCAGGGGTGGGGTCAGTGTGCTCCTGGTCCCATTCCTGAGAAGCCCCCTGCCAACCTGAATTGCTGCTTTTGTTATCTTTTGCTTATCAGTTAACTGAATACACTATTACTACCCTAGTGGGACTTGGAGCCCCAGCTCTCTCCTGTAAGTGGCATATTCAGCTTTCTTGTGATTTGGCAGTCCACTTATACCAGAAGCAAGAGCTCATTTGCAAGCTAAGGTTTAAATGTAGATTCAGAGGAGCTTTTATGTCCCATCAGATTTTCAGTTTGGCAGCCACGGATTCTCTGATTAGCCAGCAGCAATGATATCAGGGCACATCCAGAAGAGTGCAGTTCACAGCATATATCCAGAACAATCTAATACCCAAGGGACATTCAGGAATGGCAGCCTGGAAGGAGCATGAGCAGGAAAGGAGGTAGAAGCAGGGATGTAAGCTGAAGTTTAAAAAAACCAATAACATTACTAATAGTTATGCTTCACAATTAACTTGCCTAGATTTAAAGCAAAGGATAACTGAAAGCATTGAGAGATTAGATTTACCTTCTTTTGAATGGCAGAATGATTAAATGTTTATCCAAACCAAAAATACCAAAGGATATGAAGCCCTGGGGGGGAAAAAAACCACAACACAAACATATCAGTATTATAAACCTAGAAATGACATTATTTCAGATCCAGAAAAGAAAATTAAAATAATGTCCTGAATTTAATACTATCAGGGCTGAATTTTGTGGACCGGACATTATTTCAAAGAGTAAACAGGATTAAGAGTCCTTTTAATTTTGGACCCTAAAGAGACAGACAGGTGTTCAATAGGCTATCAAAGAACTCCAAAAAGAAGCTGGCAAATGTATTCATGTACATCGACATCTCATCTGATACTACAAAACAACAACATCCTTCCAGAGCTATTCCCATAAGACCAGCTAAAATAAAGAGAGCAAGTTGATAGCAATGCGCTTCTTAAACACTTGCCCATCATACAAAACTTGCAAACAGAAAGCATAGCAAGAGCAACCTGTGAAGCAGAAAACACCATGGTAGACATCTAAGAAAATTGGATGAGTTGATCTGTATAAACAAGTTACTGCCCTTTTTTTTTTTTAGCAAACTTGTTACTTCACATTTTATCAACCCTCCACCGAAAGTCAGGTAAAATCTCACTATGTTTTTTCCTACCAGGATGTCTCTGTGTATATACATACACTGACTTGACTTCTTTCTTATCAGTCTACTCCACATTATCAATACATTCATGATGCCACATTTCAGCACATGTGGCACCAGAATCTCATCCAAAGTGATAAAGTGTGACTTAAGGACATACTGGCTTTTAATAACAAATCATCAAAGCTGGCTGGAAAGGAGAATTTGTCTGTCAATTTGTATGCTAGTAAAATAATGACCCACAGAAATGTAACGTTATTTTGATTACACATCTTAAAAGCAGCTAGCCAAAAGGCATGAGATGTTTTTTGTATGGCTTTGATCCAGTGTTCCTTCTAAGCTGCACAGCAGCACTGCCCTGCAGCTGTTTAATCAGCCCCACTCAGTCAGGTAAGCTCCATGCCTGAGAGTTCTGAGCCCCATGACGAGGCGGGGCTAAGAGATTGTGAGGCTGTGCAGTTTAGAGGGAACACTGCTCTGATCCTACAAATTGCTAACTTCTATGAAGTGCTGGCCACCCTCAACTTCCATTGATGTGAAATGAGGACACTGAATTCTAGAAGGTACTAGCACCTTGAAGGATTCAGTTTCATTTTGGCTCCAAGAGCGCTTCATGTTATTTGCACCATAATATCCATTGAACACAAGAGAAAAATATTCCCAAATCAATGCTTAGTGCTTTAGCCAAAGGACACTTACTACAAGGAGTGAAGGGCAGATTTTCAAAGACAGTATGGTTCTTAAGGGCTTGACTACCTAAGAAAGTTAAACGTGAATCGTCTTTTAAACAAATATGGTTAAACTCATGCAAAAGGCTTAGTTCAGTAGATGGTGGCTTATTTCAGTTTCAAGATGATTAGGAACAGGTTTGACCAAACTGAAATTAGCTACCGTTATACTGAAATAAAGAGCATGTCTACACAAGCTTTTGGCCCTATTTCACCATAGTGGTGTGAATTCACACTTTAAGTTAAAGTCGAGGCAGCCTTCTACTGTAGGCAAGTCCTAACTCCCTCTGACTTTCAACAGGCATTGAGGACTCGGTTGCCATTTGTGCCACTGTAAATTGCCCTCTAATGTCCATAAAACACCATGCAAAGGTGAAAAGACTCTCACATGCACAGAAGCCAAAACACTGAAGGCAAACCATGTCAGAAATTGGAAGTTTTAGCATGGTTGAAGGACCTTTAGCCAGCACAACAATTCTGCCCGCTGCCAAGACATGCAAAGATGGCAGCTACCAGTGTTAGCAGCCAAGAGAAATAATTGATTTCAAAGGAAACATTGCAAAGTACCTGTCCAAAGTTAAATACAGCACAAAAGAACTGCAATTCCACATAGAGCCTTCCAGGTTCTTGGTTGAACAACCACCACAAACAGCTGGACAGATTCTGTTAAAAACAGAAGTTGAAAATTGTCATTTTCACAAAAGACAACAAAAACTCTCTGCATGCAATAAGTGATCTCGAACAAAAACAGTCACTGAAAAGTAACTTGCTATGTTCCTTTTGGGTAGCTGTGAAGAGACCCACATATTCTGATCGATTTTAAGGGTGCAGAGGGTCTGCACCTCTAACACCCTAAACAAAGGAGGACCTTGTCCTTCTAGATAAATCAATAAGTAGCAAACCTGTCTGAGCCAATATTTCATAAGTCAGAAAGCCAACATTTCTACTGAGCTAAACATCAACATTTTCTACATTGTTTCTTGCTTTTAAGGAAGCTCAGTAACAGCTTAAATGGTGCTGATATGCTCTTCAGCTGAACAGAATCTGGGAAAACAAATGGTAGCTCATTCGGGCATAAAGGTCAAATCTTTTTTGAGTACTAAGCCACTCACAATTCGTTTAATAGTTTCTACAACTAAAAATCCAATTATTGATTTATACATAAAACAGGAGCCAAAATTTCAGCTTGTGGGCCTCCACAAAATGTATTTACAATTATTTGAAATGTCTCATATACAGTATTGGGTAGGGGAGGAAAAACTTGATTCCAATGACCTAGTTCTGTAGTTCTCAAACTGTGGGTAAGGACCCCAGAGTGGGTTGTGACCCCATTTTAATAGGGTTGCCTTGGCTGAAATTAGACTTGCTGGGGTCAGTACCTCTCTGCCCAGAGCTGAAATGCTTTAGCTTTGACTCCCTCACCCATGGCGACAGGGCTTGGGCAGGCTCAGGCTTTGGTCCACGCTATTTGGGTTGTGCATAGAGCCCTGCATATCTGAAGATACCCAATTTATATTTGTAAGTATCCACATCCACAGATATGGACATGGATATCTATGGCTAATTTTTGCGGATACAGATGAGGATGTGGATACAAACATTGTATCTGTGCAGGACTTTACATGCAGTAATTTTTGTTGTCAGAAGTGAATGTGTTGCAATAAAGTCTGAGAACTGCTGACCCAGATAAAAGGCAGTTTTGCTCTTCCACTTGGCAGTTTGATTCCACTTGATTTCTATATGAAATATGCATTTTTACTTGTTAAATATGTATCTTTTCTGTCAGCCCTACAAACTTACTTGGGCTCCAAGAGTCAAACTGTTTTTTTTCCTCCTTCTGCATCACCACCAGCAAGAAAAAGTGTTTCTGCAGATCAAATCCTGACTTAATTACACTCTAGCAACTAGTCTGGAGTCTCTCTCACAAGAGTCACTCATTGACTGGTTCTAACTGAACATAGTAAATAGTTCTGTTGATGATGAAGCAAAGGAATATAGAGTAACTTTCTGTGTGGAGTCCACAGTGGAAATATTAATAGTACGAATAGCTTTTTCTATTTTATTTTATAGAAGTACTTAAACCCATGCTCATCACTAAAGCAGCGTGGATTATGAATGTGCACAGATCTGTTCAGTAAGAAGGAGCCATCTTAGCTCTAAGTCCCCTTTTAAAAAATGACTACTGTGTAGTGAAGAAAGATATCCCTGCAAACAAATCTCCTAAATTGGGAGACCAGAGAATTCAAATTTTGTCCTTCCCCCTATTGTTCTCAGCCCTGGTTTGCACACTGTCAACAGTAGTGCTAATGGTTAGCACAACTAATTTTGTGATGCACTCTTAATGAGGGACAGAATGGAGATTCACACATTGATTTAATGCAGTGCTGAGTGAACTGACACTAACCCAGAAAAATGGGGAACTATACTCTTTTTATTGGTCTGCCTACATAGGTTTCCTGAAAAAGTGTCATAAACCACTGATGTAATCAACAACAGAAAGAGGAAATATTTACAGCAAACAGGCCAACAACGAGAAGTAAACACAGCAGCACGTGTCTACCCAGTTGTCTGTCTCCACTTTTCAGACGTTGTTCTTCCTGTGCCAATATGCAGTTTTGAGAACTGCATGGACACTCACACGGATTTGCTGCAAAACATTAACCAGATTTTATAATTAGGCTTTTTAACTTGCAGTCTGTTCATTCCGACCCTGCTGTTTAGCAGTATATTAGACAGCTTGTTCAATACTTAGTCAAAAGCCACAATCTCACAACAACCCTTCAGAAGAAATGGTGATGAGGAGAAGGAGGAAGTGAAGAACAGGAACAACAGCTTTCTTCATGTCTGGAACCTACACCGTGCAAAGAGTCTCCATTTCATTATTTAGTGCTGAACTGATTGATTTAATCATTGCTGGTACACACTGTAGTCTTGAACAACTCAGCAGTTCTTAGCTCTAATTTCATGCACAAACTACACTATTATTACTTCCAGAGTTTTAGCTTTAACTGTAAATTGTTCAAACATCTGTCCCAAAATGGACTGGTTGATTTTTGAGATGGTTACTTTCTCTAACCAGAAACACTTTACAAAAAACCTAAACAAACGTTTGTTGGCCAAATCACAGTTGTACATGAGTGCAAAGTTTGGAAGTGGAAAGCTCTGAGAAATTGTTCCTGGCAGCACTGAAAAATTAGTAGTTTTGCAGGACAAGTTTTTAATAGGACGATGAATTTCTAGTATTTAGAAGAATACTGTCACCTCTAACTTCTTGTACATCGTAGACGCCACAGTTCTGTTACACTGCTTTAGAATTATATGCTACCATAACCCCACATCATTAAAAACGCCTATAAATGTAGGTGGATATTTCTTGTTTCAAATTGTAAGTTACAAGTGCTTATTAGAAAGTTCTCTGTCCCTGCCACTAGATGGCAACAAAAGAATTGCATGAAGAGGACATGAATAAGTTCCACACACAGAAACAAGGTATGTCACTGCAGTTCAGTGTTAACAGTCTGTAAGCATGATCAACTGCTATAATTAAGATTACATGAGTGTTTCCACTGTAACCCCATTTTCAATTGGTTATAACTGTCTGAAGTATCCCCATAATTGGCTGAAACCATCTCTGCTTGATTTAAGCATTTTGTGGTAGGAATGAAAAAAAGCCACATGCATTTATCAAATCGCGCACGCACACGCACACCATTTGTTTGAATGGCTCTATAGCCTAAACAACTGGCAATCGACTGTGTAGAAATATCCCTCCCTGAGGACACTTGATGAAGCGCTGCTGCGAGAAATTGTTTGGATTAGAAAGAACGTTTGGAGTTGTTGAAAATTACACTTTGTGCATGCAGTACATATGGAATGGATCAAGGGTTCTCGCACGGTGCAGAAAGTTCGTTACGAACTATTCTTCAATTTCTGTGACTCTGAACTCCTTCAAACACTTGCTTTCCCAACTCCAAATGCTTGGAAGGGAATGTTCTATAAGGCGGCAAAATACAAATCTACAGGCTTGATCCAGAGCTCACTGAAATTAATAAAAAGACTTCTGTGGACTCTGGATCAGACCCTTCGTGCAAACCCCAGCAATTTAGGACCAGGAATTTATGAAGAAAATCCCTATACCTGAAAATCCCATCCCTTATGTGTAGATTAGGCCTGAAAGATCTGAGGACAAATCCCCTAAAATAGCTGCATTTCATGCAGCTTTTAAAGTCATCTCTTACAAATTAACAGTTCCAGACAACTCTCTCAGATACCAGAGTGCAAACTATAATCAGTCACATGATTCTATTTTCATTAGAATTTCAGGATATCCAAGTAGAACAGCAAGAGCGATGACATCTCCCAATTTAATTTTTTCTCTGTTATTGTAGCAAAACTAAATTAGTCAGTGCAACAGATGGAATTTTATATGATAATACTTTATTACTGTACCTGTTTCAGTTGGAGGAGTACAGCTATCATTAGTGGTAGCATTTAACACTGGGTCTCCTTCTCCAGAGCAGCATAATTCACCATTTATTGTTTGACATGAACAGCAACCTATTAAAATACAATGCATTAAGTATTAAAGAGACCATTATAGTTTCCCTGATTTATAGTAATATGATGGGCAAACAAATTATTTTATTATCTTCTAAAAGAACACCACCGACTGCATATCTACAAATATCCAGATTAATGAGCGCACAAAGGAGAAGGGTGTGAAAATTCTCTTTCAGCTTCCAATCAGAGGACTAGCAGAACTGAGCACAATACATCCAAATGAATAGGACAAGGAATAGTTTCACTGTCCTGAAAGAGATGGTTTAGTGGGCAGGATGCAGATGAAAATGGCCAGAAATACCTGATCTCATCAGGTTTATCACTACACCCCACTATATTTGTAAATACATATACCCACAGTATTATGTATAGTGATAATTAAGAAGCCTCCCTTAACATCATGATATTAAAGTAACAGAGAAAGTGCATTATCAATATTCCTGTATTTGCATACATCACCATAGCATCGCCACAGCATCTTAACATTAATCAAAAATTGACAAAGACAAGCTCTCCCTCCACTGCTTTTCAGCAGGTAGGTTCAATGCTTGAACAGAATTATGGTTTATCCCTACCTCCCACTTCTTTGCAGAGCCAGGCACTGTACCTCTTTCTGTAGATGATTCTGTGAAAGGTGGAATGCCACTGTTTGACATCTGACTCTCTTCATTCCCTTCCCTTTCAGGGTTCTCCCGCCTCTGGCCACTACATGAATATGGGTTCAATACCTCATAGTCAGTCTCCTGTCCGTTTCTGTTCATACAAAGAAGTGAGATACCTGACATCAGAAAGCTGATGAATAGGGTCACTGCTGTGGTAACCATCTGTCAGAGGAAACCAAGAGAAAAGAAATGTCACGTAAGAAAATGTAAAAGATTATTTTTTGACACACTGAATCCTAGAATCCAACCCTTCAGGAGCACCTAAATCTGAACAAACCAAAATGTATTTCTATATTTATGCCACACGACATAAAGGAAGCTAAAAGTCCACTCTCACCACAGTAGAATGAGCAGATTTTCTTAGCATGGACAACCCACAGATGGTTCTTTTTCGCTAGCTTTTGTTCTATAGGAACTCTTCCCTTAAGCAATGAGAGATCCCACTTACTTCCCGTCCCTTCCCCCTCTATTAGACCGTTTCTCCTTCAGAGATTCTTACTCGAAGGACAAGTGCACTCTCTTTTCCTCTTTTTGCAGGGCGTCATTTTCCATCCCCGCTTCTTCTGCAAGGCCAATTAGTTTTTATGTCTGACAGACCTGCCATCAACACACAGTATCAATTTTGAAATTATTTTAATAACCGTGACAGGTACAGTCTGACAATCCTGCAGAATAATGTCCTCTTTATCCACCAGCCAAGTAAAACTACAGCAAGGGGAGGTTCCTCACATTGTCCTAGCTGCGTACATCATGCCAGACATGATCGGACAATTTATTGGTAAGAGTGTAGTTCACACTTCAGGGACTTTTAGTCCCTGGTTTCTCTGCCAAAACTCCCAGTGAGGACGCTAATTATTGCCAGTTAGTGTGAGGCTCTAGTAATGTAGGATCCTGACCAAGACCAGAGCCGTTCTATCCATAGGATGGTTTGGTGCAGACTCCCTAGACCCTGCACTTTGGAGGATCCCAGGTGGCCCAGGGAAGCTTGGGGCCAGGAGCTGTAGGAAGCAGAGGAACCTAACAGGCTGCTCCATTCTGCCATCGCCTAACGTGGTTGCTCTGCTTCACCAGAGGTGGAGCGTCCTGGCACCAGTCCGCTGCACTCCCCCAAATGGGTTAGGGCAAGGGCACGCCACTTCCTGCCACTGTAGTGAAGTGGAGCGAGCCAGCTGGAAGATGGTGGAACAAAGCAGGCTCAGGCTAGATCACTGCTTCCCACGGCTCCTGCCAGTGCAGTATGTGGGGGGTAAAGGGACTCTGACCAATGCTACTGCCTGGCACCAGGCCCCCGGTAATCCCCCAGGTTGACTCACTTGGGGTAGGGGGCTTATAGGAAAGGGGTGCAATGGGCATTGGAGGGAACAGAGCATGCATGGGAAGAGGCAAGGCAGGAGCAGAGCAGGGTTGTCCCAAGACCTCCCTGACCAAGACTACTACTCACTAGCCAATATAGTAGCAACTTTCGACAACTACCAAGCTAAGCTAGATTCAAACTGGTAACCTAGAACAGTGGTGCACAACCCGTGGGTTTCAACCCCCAAAGGGGTTGCGAATGTATTCCTGGGAGGTCACGGCACTTAGATCCGGTCGGCTGGGGGCTGGGCGTGGCAGTTGGCGGCCCCCACATTGTGAGGGTCTCAGATCAAAAAAGGATGCACACCACTGATCTAGAACATTGTTTCCCAAATAGTAGGTGCAATCCACCAGCAAGTTGCAGAAAAGTTGTAGATGTGTTGCAGGAAGGGAGACCTCAGGCTCGGTGAGTTAGAAAGCTTGCCCTTCACTCACATTCCTACTTGGTGACTATAAGGTAAGCTTGGATCAATCTCTAACCTTCCCCCTCCTTCCTCCCTTCCACATTGGGCTGAGTTTAGAGTTGCAGTGTGCTGGCAGGCGTGGCAGCAGCAGAGGAGAAAAGAAGGATGCTGGCTTATGCTTTTGTGCTCCTGCCCCACGATTTTGGACTCTCGGCGGGTAACAAATCAAAATGCAGTTAGTGGCTTGCCTTAGTAAAAAGTTTGGGAACCAGTGACCTAGGGATGAGGGATTTACAGCCCATTATCACTGCCAGGCTACTCGGTGTCTGCTTTCTTTTGTCACTGCTGCCTATAAACTCCCTGTTCAGTCTTTCATAATGGTTTGTTACAGAAACATTTTAATACCACCGCCTCCAAGCTGAGTAGTGGCTATTTGATCCCTAGTATTTGCATTGCTAGTACTGCAGAAAGCTCTTTAGTTATAAGTAAAGCAAAGAGAGAATACAGTTTGTCAATAACATACTGTGAAAGGCAAGTGTCAGGAGGGGTGAAGAGGAATATTCATACCTGGTATTTTCCATAAAAAAAAGCTGAGTCAATGCTATCCATGTTACGCTCCCCAGTTATTAGTAAGATTCCCACTAGAAGCGTTGGGATGCTGCAATAGCAAAATACAAAGTGTGTCAGGAAAACAGTTATTTTGCATGTTCCTATTTATTCTCATGGAAACTTTTGCCAACTTACCCCCACCCAGCTATGATGATAAATCCAACAGGGATCTTTATTATATCTCTTTTCTTTAACAGGAGTAAAGTGAGAGAGAGGAAACCTAAGATGACAATAGAAATTGCTGCTTTATTACTTTTCATTAAAAATATAACAATTTAAAACTCCAGACACTCTACAACTGTTATCCAATATCATACAACTGGTTAGATTTTTTTCCCTAGCTCGTGGTGGGAAGTCATTTTTGATGGGACGGAGGGGACACACCAAAGATTTTGGTAAGTGGTCAAGAGCTACACTTTTCTATTGAGGGGGTGCAGAGTCTGGGACAGAGGTTGGGTGCAAAAGGGAGCTTGGGGTAAAGGACTGAAGTGCAGAGGCCGAGGGAGTTTAGGTGATGCAGGGGTTTGTCACCTGGGACAGGGGATTGGGGGTGCGGTATGGGTTAAGAAAAAAATTCTGGTTTGGGGGAGGGATGTGGGGCCTGGGAGGGAATTGTAACTTGTGGGAGGGGTTGCAGAGGGTTTAAGTGGTGAGCAGGGGTGGTGGCTTGGGGGCACGGATTGGAGGGAAGAAGAATATAGAGGATGCCAGAGCAGGCTCTGGCTGGGAGATGCTTACCTAGATGGCTCCTGGCCAGCAGCCCTGTAGGACCTTGAAGCAGGCTCCCTGCTTGCCACAGTCCCTGATAGCAGTTTTAAGCTCGCTCCTCCTTGCATGGGGAGAGGGAGAGGCTTTGTGCACTGCACCCAGCCCCTTGCAAATTCTGACAGCTCCTACTGGCTGAAAACCAGAGAATGTGAGCTGAGAAATTTTGTTGGGAGGATGGGAGCAGCATGTGAAACCTCTCTCTGGCACCCAGAGCAGAAAGCCACAAGGAGCAGTCAGTTGCTTAAAGTGGCATGGGGTTGCTCTGTGCCTGAGGGTTCTGGCAACAGGATCCTGCAGCTTGGCAGGCCGGATACAGCCTGCGGGCTGAATTTTGCCAGCCCGTGTTGTAGCTCCTCAACATGTCAAGTCAAAAGCTACAAACAACATTTTCTTCTAGTTTTTCTTTGACAAAATTATAATCTGCAAAGTTACATTATAAATAGGTATCCACTCTATATTTTCAAGAGTTAGTTTGTTTGTGCAAAATAAAGTTATACTTCAGGATTACCTACAGATACCAAATTTTGCATAAACAATCCTGCCACTTAAATTAGCTGAATGCACTACTTTTTACATTGGAATATGCTGGGTGAAAGGTTTAAATAATTATTTTTGTTTTTCACTGGAAAGAGTCATGACAATTATGATTAGTGTTCATAAAAATATTTGCTAACAAAATTAAAATCAATTCGCCTAGTCAACTGTCATGTTAGTGAAAAGAAAAATTTTACTGTTACAAATCACAAAATAATTCAAATTACTTATGGAAACAGTAATGGAAGCTTTATGAGTTTCTGATTCAAAATTTACTATGTATGGTAACTATTCAATAAATATGAAATAAAAATGAATAATGTTTGAAGTTGAAATCCTACAAATTTAAACCTGTTTTTACTTCCCTCTTGCAAGCACAATAAAAAAAATCTATTACATATATTTAATTTTTTGAACTTTCCTGTAAGTGTAATCTATGCAAAATGACTTTGCCCTGTCAACGACATCCTTCACCTGCGAGTTTAAAACATTAGAGAAACTTGGGCTCACTGTACAGTAAGGTTCCATTTACAAATGTTTTCTACTGGATTAATAAACAATTGGTAGATGTCATAAGAATGTTAGACATGAGTAGCTTGTTTTTATCATTACTCATGAGGACCTGAATAGCAAGCGTTACAGATAGGTATTGTATCAACAAATTAACCAGTTGGTCACGATAATTGATTGGTAACTATTATTGATTAAAACATCTATTAATCAGTTATACATAGCTAAATAGAAACATAATCTTAATTATTCTTTACCAGAAACACTGTACATTTTTACATATGCATAACGTCGTCTTTGAGATGGACTTCCCAATTCTATTATCAGTTGGCCCCAACTCAGGAAGTTAGCAAACTACATACTTCCATAATTTATGAGAAAAACTGGATAAGATTTTTAAAAATGGTTAAAGCTGGTGTCCTAAGTCTATAATTTGTTGTCTAAATAAGGGACCTGATTTTTAGCCAGCTACTCCCACTGGGAAATGCCCTGCATTTATGTAGCTAACCCAGGGATGGGCAATCATTTCAGACACAGGGCCACTTCAGAAATTTTTGAAGTGGCCCTGGGCTACCCTGGCAGGGGCAGGGCCAGAACACTTCCATGCTTTCCCGCCCACAGACCCAGACTGGCCTGTGGAGGGGAGGGATGTTAACGTGTGGAGTCTTTGTCCCCGCTAGAACCACCAGCTATTCTGAATAGCTGGCGGTTCCCTTTAGGTGCCCGTTCCCCTGCCAGCAGGTGAAGATTTCACACACTCCTCCCGCCCCCAGGTCAATCAGGGCCTGGGGGTAGGGGGAGCCCGTAAAGTCTCTCACTCCCTGACCCAGCCCTGCAAGGGGGCACTGCATTCAGAGTCAACCACCAGTTGAGCAGCAGCGGGGAAAGCATGCAAAGTCTCTCATTCTCTGCCCCTATCCTGCAAGAGGTGCACAGTGCTTAGAGTCAACCCTAGCAATGCCCCTGAGGGGGGAGGGCGGGGAGACTTCATGCACTTCCCCATCCCCAAGCCCTGATTGGCATGAGGTCAGGAGAGTGGCAAGGTGTCGGAGGGCTGGATACAGCCCATGCAGGCCCTTTTGCTCACCCCTGGGCTAACCATAGGTGGGTATGAGTCAATGAAATGCAAGTGCAAAGAAGCTGCCCACTTAAAACTGATCCTGAGACACATGTATGGTTGAGAAGTACAGGATGGGCTGGAGGCCTTTTCAAGCCTGGTTAAATTTTCCTCACAAGAAACTTTCTCTGGGCCTGTTGTTTCATCATCAAAGGCCAATGAAAAGGTAATAAACCATAATCTACATGATGTAGTGATCAGAATTTTCCTACATTGTTGCTTTCGCTGTCATGGGGGGCCTGTGTGGCGAGCGGGGCTGTCCCCACTGACCCAGTGCGGAATGTGTACCTCTCATCACACAGTGGTTGGGCCTCCCTGTGGGATCAGCCAATTACAAAAGGACAACTTTGGACCCCTAGTGGAGCTGGAGCAGCCAAACTATGACGGCTGGGCCTCCTGCCTAGGCAGGCAATAGCTGTTTGGGTTCTGTTGTCCCTGGGTGGGGCTGAACAAACAAACGGTAGCCACACTAGTGGCAAGTGGGGAGAGAGAAAGGAGAACTCAGACAAATTTCCTGTTAATGATTTAACCATCAACTTCTACTACATTCCCCGAGTCCTTTCTACCACTACGTGCATCTCGGACCTCTTCCTGGCTGGCTGTGGCTTGGTGTCCCAGTCACTCTCCGCTGTTGGCTGCTCATCCACATCACAGTCCAGGTCCACAGTATCCACCACTTGGAGAGTCACAGACATTTCATCAGGAGCTTGCAGCACATGTCCTTCT